GCGGGGAGGGAGGGGAAAGTGAGGACCTAATGCAGGGGCCTTAAGTGGAGAGGAAATGTTTTGAGAATGATGAGGGCAATGAATGTACAAATGTGCTTTACACCATTGATGTATGTATGGATTGTGATAAGAGTTGTATGAGCCCCCAATAAAACGATTAAAAAAAAAAAAAAGGCCAGGTTCCTTAAGACTCGGTGTGGGTGCAAACCTTGCGCTGCACTTTATTTGCTTTCGGCAACAGCGTTGAAGAGAAAACCCACGGACCACGTACAGCCTGCATCCTGGCCTCAGGGTATATGATACGGCAGGGGGTTGCACCGGGCCTCACACAAACACCCAGTTTGGTTAACCTGGTGACTATCCCGTGTCTGGGGGCAGGCAGGAGTGATCTTGTTTGAGGGAGAGGAGCAGAGTGGAGAAAAAATATCACTAACTGACAGGGTGAATAAAATGGTTGCAGTGACTAATCTTTGTAACTATAACTGTTTTAGCAGCTTCTAGGAGGCTGGGCTACCGCTGAACTGGCCCGCGATGATTTGGGATGAAACCTGCAGCAAATGATGCCAACTTCAGTTTAGTTTAGGAGTTGTGTTTCAGCGTAACAGAGTTGACTCAGCCTAACGGAGCCCTGAAATGCTGAGTCATCCTTCTTTGGGACACACTTTCCGCAGGGCCAAAATGAACGAGAAAAGGAATTTAGCTGGAGAGAAAGGAAGACTAGCACAACCTTCATTCCCAGGGACAGACCACAGTTTGCTTTCTTTTTAATTTTTTTGGTTTCAACAGTCCTGGACACATTATTCATCTTATTTTATGCAGCCTCATCCACTTCTCTACTTGAAATTATAGTTTTAATATGATGTCTTTCTCTCTCTCGAGACAAATAGATATGAGGGGGGTTTTAAAAGGTAGTAGACAAATGGAGTGAAAAAATACAACTTTCCTCTAGTTCCTAAATGCTTCCTCCCCACTCCCACTATCATGACACAAATTCTACCTTGCAGGTCTGGCTGGACCAGAAGATGTACACTGGTACAGATAGGAACTGGAAATACAGGGAATCCAGGGTGGATGATCCCTACAGGACCAGTGGAGTGAGTGGCGATACTGGGAGGGTAGAGGGAGAATGGGTTGGAAAGAGGGAACCAATTACAGGGAACTACATGTGACCTCCTCCCTGGGGGACAGACAACAGAAAAGTGGGTGAAGGGAGACGTCGGACAGGGCAAGATATGACAAAATAATAATTTATAAATTATCAAGTGCTCATGAAGGAGGGGGGAGCGGGGAGGGAGGGGGAAAATGAGGACCTAAGGCCAGGGGCTTAAGTGGAGAGGAAATGTTTTGAGAATGATGGGGGCAATGAATGTACAAATGCGCTTTACACCATTGATGTATGTATGGATTGTGATAAGAGTTGTATGAGCCCCTAATAAAATGATTAGGAAAAAAAAAGAAAGAAAAGATAATGACAATTTTCCACAAACGTTTGGAAGTCCATTGAATGTATCGAGAGACAGTCTCTGGATAGTGCAAGCGGTTACTGGGCTTGGCTAGAGTGTTGTGCGTGGCTGCCCACCAAAGGGATGCAAGTTCAAGTTGACCAGAGTCATTTCTGAAGAACAAGCTACTGGTCTACTTTTAAAAAGCCAGCCACTGAAAACCCTACTTCTGCTCTGCCACACGCGGAGACAGTAACTGGGTGTCTTATGTATACTGTGGGTAAGGGTCATGAGTCACTTTTCACTCAGCGAAGCCCCATGTGACAGAACGGATAAGCTCCATTGGGTTTTCATGCATAGTTGTTATCTGTATATCTGGTTGGCTTACTCCACAAATTTCATTGTGGAGTTATCTGTATGTATAGCAGATAACAAAGAACTCCAAATTTCATTGTGGACTTCTCCGTATGTATTTACATGATTGGCTTACTCCACAAATTTCATTGAACCTGAAGTGTTTTTACCAACTTCAACCACATCTTGTAGTATTTTAGAAACTATCTGCCTCATAGACTAATGTGTTTGACTATAATTGGGTAATTAGAATAACCAAGCCATTGAAATAGAGCCCCATCATTTTGTTTACGTGAAAGAAAAGCAACATGCTTCGGACTGAGAACACAGCACCGAGTTCTCAGTCCTTTGTGGTTTCAGTCTCTGGGGACACTGCAATCAGCAAGTGACAAGGTTAAAAGGAACAAGGTTAGCTTGGACAGGTGAAGGGCCGTCAATACGGGAGGGCACTACCACGGGGGCAAGGATTGGCCTCGCACGAAGCTCTCCCTTTCCTTGACAACACATACCCAGAAGAGGAACAGGTGCCAACAGGGCAAACACTGGGAGGTGCGCAGACCACTGACTCAGCAGTGCCCACCACTCTGTGGCTGTGGGTTCTGACTCCCAGTGACCCCCTCCGGCAGAGTAAAAGTGCTCTGTAGCGTTTCAGACGCTGTCCATCTTCATGGGAGTAGCAGCCTCATCTCTCTCCTGTCTATCGGTTCAAACCACGGCCCTTGAGTCAGCAGCCTATGTCCCTTCACTCCACCAGCAACCCTCCTGAGCAGTCCAGTTAAGTAGAATAATTTAGCAGCCTGCTCCAAAGGGCACACCAGCTAGCATTTGCGTTCAACGCCTCACTGCCGGATGACTAATCTCAAGGGGAATGGACTCTTCACAAAGGAAGCCAAAACCATTTGAGGTGACTTTGATACGATGCCACAAAGGATATAAAGAGGAAGCTGGTAGAATCTGCACATGGCTAAATCCAATTAAGAGTTCTAATAAAAGCATAATGGAATTTCCCCTAACTGCGAATTAAAAAAAAAATTAATGTTAGATGTGGGCAAAATTTACACAAGTCAGACCAAACCTTTGATTTCTTCTAGATGCTTCTGGTGCCGTCGTTCAATGCTAACCTTATCCACTGTTGAATTTATGTTGATAGAAATGACTTCCTCTAAAAACAACCCCCAACCAGTAATAAATAGCAACACTGCCATGGGAAACGGGGCCAATCCTGCTGCTGTTGTCAGCCTGCACCTTCTGACCGCATCAGCAGACACACAGGCTCCCTCTCAAACCAGCGGCCATGTTTTGCAAAGCGACTGATTTAACTTGGAAAATGCAACTTGAAACGACACAGTATGGAGCCCTGGAACATCACCATGACCACCAAGGCACCTGAGCACCACTCTTCTTACATGTTTTTATTATGCAACCAACTACAGAAACTCTAGAAGTTTCTCAAGTTCTTGCAACGTCTATGAACAACGGCTACAAGATCCCACCCCGCCCACCAGCCCAACACAGACAGCCAGCTCTGTGTTTTCAGCTGAGAGTAGTTCTCACATGACTTCTTGTGGCTACTTAAACATCCCTGCCACATGGCTCCATGTGAATTCATAGACGCAGGTTTGTTTGTGTGAGCGTGATAATGAACAGATTCTCCAGAAGGGTACATGGCAGGGAAGCTCTGCCCAGGTCAAAGACATCTTTGAAGATGTATTCTCCAGGGCAGTGTGATGTGACGGATTTTTAAAAGATGGTTACTTACATATTATCATGATTACTTTTCATTGTGATGTGTGAAAGCGTACAGGGCAAACTGGTTTTCCATTCAACAATTCATACCCTTAATTTTTACTTTTAAAGGAGTCGTTATCTTGTACAACTGTATGATGAAGTGCCTGTTAATGAAGAAGGTACCTGGGAATTCCTCAAATATGGAAGCGGGAGCGGAGAGTGTGGGTTCGGATAAAATGAGATTGATGATACATTTATAAAGCTGTGGGATGGGAATGTGGGGCTTGTGATTTGAATTGTGTCTCCCTGCTCCCCCTCACCCCATAACATGTATCAACTTGGCTGGGCCATGTATCTCAGTGGTGTGGCAGTGTGTACTGTGCACTGATGTATGGACCACCCCCCGCAATGCCATCACGCACACAATGCGATGTAATGTGATAAACCAGTATCAGGAATAGAGGTGGGACGGAACACCCTTGATCCCTGGCCTGATGTAAGGCGGGTTTCTCTAGGGGGTGGTCTGCAACCCCTTTCATCTTGTAAGATAACCAAAGCAAAGATTAGATGCCTTACTATCGCCAGGAAGGAAGGGTCAGGAGTGAAGTGTGTCCTTTGGCTCTGAGGTCCCAAACTCGTGAAGCTCCTAGACACCGGGGGATATTGGTGCCTGGACGCTGGGTGCCGAAGGAGGCAAGACCCGTTCCTCAGAGCTCACCCAGAGAGAAGGCCTTCCCCTGGAGCCAGCACTCTGAACTTGACCTTCTCAGAATGAAGGCCACTCATTTGTCACAGCAGCACCAGAGAAGATGAAACTCATGGTATTATTTGGTCTTGTCTTCCAGCAAAGCTTTTGCCAATGCATATTTCACATATCAGGTTAGATACAGATTTTTGTTACGATTTCTATGCTTAAAAATAACTTTATATCACTTGCACTGGAGAATCAAGTGTTGGCAGTCTATATTTCAATGATCTTTTTATATATCCCAGAAGCCAAGATGATCCACTATGCTGTTTGGAACAAGAAAAGAAAATCCAACCCAACACCACAACACCCACGATCCTGCCTTTTCACCGTCTTCTAGAGCAGTGGTTCTCCACCTTCCTAATGCTGCGCCCCTTTCATACAGTTCCTCATGTTGTGGGGACCCCCTCCCCCAACCATAAAGTTATTTTCGTTGCTACTGTTATGAATCGGGCAACCCCTGTGAAAGGGTAGTTTGAACCCCAAAGGGGTTGCGACCCACAGGTTGAGAACCACTGTTCTAGATGATTTGCGTGACAACAAGCAACCAAATTCTAATATGAACAAAGAATTACTTTAGTTCAGAAATTAAAGTGTCCTGTTTCCTGTTTAAAAGGTGAAAGAGTTTTAAATTAAAGTCAACTAAAATTGAAATATGCAATTGGCAACTAGACTTAAAAATCACAAATTTGGCCAAAATCATGCTACACATCCTAAAAGATTCACACTACCAGTGTAGTGTACTGACAGCACGCTTCTCTTACCTTGTGGTCATATGGGTTGTAAGAATGAAACACCCGAGAAAGATCTTTCGTTCTTTGCTTTTTCTGCGAAGGAAACAAACAGACAAACATTGGAGTTGGCAGGTGGTAAAAATGAAGAGGTGTATGCACCTTAAAAAACATTACTTAGTTAAGAGGGTTTTCTTTCAGAAAGCTGGAGGAGGGGGCAACAGTGTCAACCTGGGACACGTGGATGCAATTAGAAGCCGAAGTCACTCCATGGTTATGTGGGTAATTGTCACTGAGCAGTCAGGCATCTTCTTGCTGGAATGGTTCATAATTAAGACACACTCATTAAAAGAAAAAATTAAAAGCCCCTTTAAAAAGATGTGACTCAGAGACTGTACAGAAAACGCTGAGAAAATCAACACATGCGCTTGCGTGTAGGCACTTTCAGTGTACTACCAAGTGCTGGTGCTCTGAACTGGGTACTGACGGGCATCTGCTCCTTCAGCCTTCCTGGTTACAGCTGCAGCCTGTCTGCTTGCGCCAGCAGGCATGAAGACATCTGTATTTTGTCACTGCGGTGGTCCTAGTGCCTGGCGTGGTTGTCTCACACACTGCAGGTGGCACTCAATGGATAAAAGATGCGTTGAATGAATGATGACACCCATGTTAGGCACCGACCTATTCAACGGTGATGCCTGAAACTGGCTCCGTTTACGGAAAGAGAAGTCTCTTTTTGCCTCGAATGCCATGCTCTGCTCAAGTGGAAAGCATGCCGGCAAAGTCGGGCACCCTTCAAGTCCCCCGGGATCCCTCAAGAGGAGGAATGTGGGGTCCCCCTGGGACAGCTGACTAGAGGCAGCAGCGCGGCGCTCAGTTCCTCATCCGTCGTGACCCGTCCGTTCACCAAAACCACCATGAGCAACTTTAAATATGGTTTCAGATGGTCTGAAGATGAGTAGAGATGTGTGTGCCCAACTGACTACGACTTTCAGAGAAAAGCAGTCTCTCTCTAAATATTGCTCTGAAATTTGTTTTCCCCCACTTCGGAATTTATCTTTGCCAAATATCCTTGTGTATATACTGATCCACAATCCCTTCTAGAGCCTCTGAAACCCTCACATTTCTGACATCTTTTCTTCTGCATTATGACCTTTTAAAGGCGACATGATTCTTACATTTGAATGAGCATTTTTAAAGAAACGGGTGACTTATGGAAGCAGGGCTGCTGGATCCAACTGGACGCAGGTTTATCCATCTGGACGCTGTTTTGAGTGACCGCTGAGTCAGCTCTGACTCATGTGACCTTCGGTGTAACACAAAAAATAACACTGCCCGGTCCTGGGCTGTCTTCATGACCACTGCCGGTTGGTCCAAGTAATCGAATTATCCTGGTAGACACTGCTCCTTGGTCCTCTCCCCACAACCACTCCCAGTTCACCCTTTCACCAAACAGAACCAGAAACGGCGCCCAGCTTAAGAGGATATTCTTAAGAATTTCTCTCACCTGTTGGCAGATTAGAACATTTCTACCTTACAGATAAACTATTTCTGAAACATATGGATGTTTGGGGTATTTTAAAAATATCTTAGAATTAGCCCACAAACACATCTTGAAATGCTACCTCATAAGTGACTTGCTTTGGTTAACACGGACCCAGCTCACTTCTGGTTCTACTTTGATCTTGATATTCTGACTACCAGGACACTCAGCTTTCTATCTTCTGACTTACATAAGAGTCCTGTGGTACCACGGATTACTCACGGGGCTGCTAACCACAAGGTTGGTAGTTCGTACCTACCAGCTGAGAAAGAGGAGCATGAGGAGGTGTCTGCTGCTATAGAGATTCACCGGCTCAGAAACCCTATGGGCCTATTTCCAATCCTTGGAAATCCTCCCATCAGCTCTGTCCAATAGAGTTGCAAATGAATTAGAATCCCCTCGATGGCAGTGGGTTTGGTATTCATGCTTCCTCGGAGAGTCGTTCCTGTCTACCAACTCCAGTACGCTCAATCCCAGCATACCTCAATCCCAGCAATCTTGACTGCGTCCCAAATCATCTTCTTGATTGTACTGCGTAGTTGGATCTGGTATTGCAATTGCCCTTACTGCGTGCCTTCACGCTGATTTTGATTCACAGGGACCTGTGGAATTTCCTAAACTGTCATCTCCACAGGAAGAGGTTGCCAGGTCTTTTCTCCCGCAGAGCCACAGGTGGATTAAAACCATTGATCTTTCTGTTAGCAGCCCAGCGCTTATTCCTTGTGCCACCAGGGCTCCTGGCATTTCAATGGGGTCTGCATTAAGTCATTTGTACAAACATGAAGTTTTCCCTTGGACCAATCTGCCTATTTCAGAACTACCTGTGGAGCCAGAGTTCCAAGTGGCCATTGTTCCAATCTCTCAATCTTGTTTCCGCCTGATGGCATCTGCTCAAAGTCATCCTTCCCCACAGCTCAGCCTAAATTCCTTTCTCCCCTGCCCACCTCTGAGCCTCGCTTCTAAGCATCTAACTCTAAAAGTTATTTAACACCCACTTCTCCTCACAGGGAAGAAGACGTGTCCCTCTGATGATTGGAAACAGTCCCCTTGGCTAATGAAATGTTAGCTCTGCGAGCCTTGGCATCTGTTTTGAATAGGCCCGCTTGCCCAGCAAAGTCTGCAAGCGCTCATAATTTTCTCCTTCCTTTTCATACACCCACTGGGTTGATGTAACACTTCTTGGCTTGTACTTCAATCAGAAAATGGATACTAACACTTCCTTTGAGAGGAGGCTTAATATGAAACATTGGGGAATTTTCCCCCTCCCCAAAGAGAGGAAATTATGCTGGGGAAGATAGTAGGATAGGTAGCATGTCAGAGGTTACCTTAGGTAGCATTGCAAAGACGAATCAGTCCCAGAAATGGCTGGAGTTGGCAGGCAGACAAAGAATATCCAGAGATTATTCTGCCTGACCTTCTCATGCGGGTTGTGAATTCCTATCTCCATTTTGATAGCTAGACCCTCTATCTGCCTTTTATTATGGGCTACCGCAAACCATCATGAGAAGGAAGGGTGGGGTATGAATGGCAAGAACAGTCTTAGATTCACTCCAAAAGAAGCCAGTGATAGAGTAATGGCCCTTGTCTAACCAGAAATGAATTCCATGCAAAGGCAGTGCATTCTTGACGACACGCATTCAAAGTGTTGAGTGTTACCCAGGCCAGTTAACTTAAAACCTGTGAAGTCAGAGCCACATTGCCCAGGGTGAGCACCGTCAGGGACCCAGAATGGAGGTCGACTTTGGCTTGCAGGCCCGACTCAGCCCACTGCCTGCTTTTTGCCAAGGACGTTTTCCTGCGACAGAGTCACACCCCCATTCCTTTCTGTCGTGTCTGTGGTTGTATTCGTGCTGAAACAGTAGATCACGTGTACTTCCCAAACTCTTAAATATTTACCATATGGCTCCACACAAGTAAAGTGGGCTGGGCCCGGATCTAGATCCTAGACCCGATATGTCTGCTTCCAGGGGGAGCCCCTTGACCTCAAGGCAACTAACTAGTCGGCACAGTTGGTTATTCTTCATCGATGGGCTGCAGACGGCTCCCAGGTGCACCATAGATCAGGATGCACAGAACAGGTCAAACAACAGTGAGCAGTCTGGTCTGTCGGGCTTTGCTCTCAGGGCATGCTGAGTTCAGAGAGCGAAGCTACAAGTGCATTTCCAGCGTGTGCTCAAGCTGCTTTGGACATGAGACTCCCAGAGCCTGCGGCCTTCACAGCTCAGCGGTGCTAACACTCCGGGTTTCACGTGCATGTCACTAAAACAGGGCCGTTGTGACTGGTGAGGCAGCTTCCTGCATGTAGGGAACAGGAAGAGTAACTCGAACAAACCTGTTGAGCCCTGCTATCAGCCGTTTTAACTGAAACTTAAAGCTGAGCCAAAAATGGAATAATTAGGTCTTTTCCTATTGCATCATACTGTGTCTAAATTACCTCCCACTTTTTAGCTTGTTAAAACAGACAGCTCAGTCATGCAACCACCTGTTAGTTCGCTCCAGGCTTAAAAAGTCAACCCGGTAAACAAGCCCTGCGAGGGACTTGTAACAAGGGTGGCCCAGGCACAGTGGGCATGGCGAGCGTCTCCTCACGTAGGAGGCACCTTCAAGACACCCTCACCGTCGATAAGCAACGTGAAAAGCCGCAGTCCAGAGCGGGAGGAGGACCTTTCAAGGTAACAGCAGGGTGGGTCCTGCACTCACGGTGGGCTGAACACCCAACACGTTTTGACTCACAGTGAGCCTGCAGGACAGAGGAGAACAGTCCAGAGGGCTTTCGAGGCTGTCAATCTTTGGGAGAGCCAACTGCCACATCTTTCTCCCACTGAGTGGCTGGGAGGTTTGAACTACTGACCATTGCGGAGCAGGAAAATGCTTAACCACTGTGCCACGAGCCCTCCTTACACGGGCAATTCTTAGATTCCCTAAGCCGCATCTTTGCCGACCTTGGATTTACAGGCACTTTATACAGTACTTAAAAAAAAAAAATCATCTTATTGAGGGCTCTCACAGCTCTTATAACATTCCATACATTAACTGTATCAAGCATCTTTGTACTTAAGTTGCCATCATCATTTTAAACATATTTACTTTCTATTTGAGCCCATGGCATCAGCTCCTCTTTGTTGCCTCCCTCTCCCCATATTTTGCTTTTGTACTCCACCGTCTGAGGACTGAATGCAGTGACAACCTTTTTTCTTATAGGAGGATAACACAAAAGCCCTGCTAGAAAAAAGCAGAGACTTTTACTATGCAAAAGTCTCACACTGGGGCACTATTGTTCCTTGACCTAGCCACCACCTAGGTTCACACCTTTGTGAAGGCTGTGCTTTCTGCCTCTCCAACCATTCCTCAAGGAACTGTCTGCACTGTGTGATTGACCACCGGGCCAAAATGACAGGGACTCAACTTGATCGTGTTCCTCTTACATGTCTGGTTGTAGGGAGTGTAGGGAACAAAAATGTCTGGAGGGGCAAGATCAGAGCTCTGTGGAGGATGGGGACTGGTTTCCCAGTAAGATTCTCACAGGATAGTCTTTGGGACCCTTGAACAATAAGTG